CAACCATCCCCGGTCTCCCTTGCCGTATCATAGCCTATTTATTTGAAATCTGGAGTGCAGAGCTGATCTTTCTCCAGGTGCTGTTTTTGCGTGGGCATATTGTCCGTGTGACAGATTAAAAGCTCCAAAATGATCAACTTTCCCATATTAATCACATACTGATATAAGGGAAAGATATCCGTCAGCTGTGATTGGTTGTTCCTCGTCATATGACATGTGGTGTCCGCTGCTGTGTTCCAAAAGTTGAACTCGGCTTATCTCAGGGCGCAGCCAAAATGCCCTGAAAAATAGGCGCTCAGGAAGGCATACGCGCCGCAACGGCATCACTGTATTTGAGTGTGCAAAGACCGAGGCATGTGTACGTCCCCTAGGCTGCTTTCACACCTGCCCTGTTTGGTTCGGTTCAATCACACTCAAGTTAATTTGCCCCCTAAGTGCGGTTTGTTTGGGCAGGTGTGAACACAGCAGTCGTGCTTGGGTGCGCACCAAAACAACTGCACCAAGACTTTCCTGAAGAGGTGGTCTCGGTCCGGTTACAAACAAACTCTGGTGCGCTTTGTTGTGGTGAGAATGTGTTCAGACCTGGATCTGGACCAACTGCAGTCACATGACACATTGTTTGGGTTAAACATGAGCATGTTACAGTCCTGGAGGATTATTAATGTGCACCTCCTCCTGTACTGCCTTAATATGCACATTCAGCACATCCAATGCATCAAAACATTGTTTTCTAGTTGGAGCCGCGCCTCGTTTTCAAACTGTATGGTTTGACTAAAATGAACAATGACAGCAATATAGTCCATGATGAGCAGCACTAAAATCAACCTGCGTAGTTGTCCCTCCACTGTGACATTAGAAAGTGTCACATTTATCTTGCTTCTTCAATGTTTTGTTTACTTCCTGGATTTTTCCTGCATGGAAATTCTGACCAGTCAAGAGCAGCTTTCTTGCGCAGGGCATTTAATCTGGTCCGCTTGTAAATGCTTCCGTGAGAACACGAACCAACTCTAGGGAGTTATGCAACTTTGTAACAAAATGAGTCCTTGATTCGGACTAAAGCAAGACAACTCTAGGTCTGACAGCACCCTTAAACAATCACTGACCCCATTAAAGCTCATTAAAACATACCTGTGTTCAACAGTGGGACAGGAACATCTAGTGGTCTTTCTGTTATCAGGTGCCAGGTAATGCAGACGTGTGTGTCTGTAGAGCCTCCTGCAACTGCTGAAACATGCCTGTTCAATAGTTATTCTGTAGTGGAGAATATACTGTCTCAGCAGACCCTGCATGTAAGAGAACTATGGTGATTGGTGACCAATACGAAAATGTGAATGGTCCGATTTAAAGCAAGTGTCTGGTTTGTCTACTCTGGGCTACTGTAGAATCAACATGGTGGACTCTGCGGAGAAGAACCTGATCCACATGTAGATAAACAGCTAATTCTAAGGTAATGAAGCACAACAGTTCTTATTTTCATGATTATAAACTAATGAAAACATAGTTATGAATATTATATACCATCTCTGCCAGTAGATGCCCCCACATCCCACACACTGGACCTTTAAAGCTGTAGGCTAGATTTAAATTTTTCAAGGGCAGGAGCGCTACTTGTCCTTGCCTTAAACTGCAAAATTGTTTTAAATAGTTATGGACAAAAGCATGTTTTTGGGAAGCACTGAGCAAACTATGAGATAAATAAAACTTGGATAATACTGCACAAGTTGTGTGAGAGTTTGTATATGGACGTTTTAATATAGTTTTATTGTCATGTCATGCGTCTCCCCTGGTTTTTGGATTCCTTGTTCACTAAGAAGGCATGCGAGAAAAACGATGTTCTCTTCCTGAATTCTACATAACATAGGGTGAGAAGTTGAGATAATAATGGTAATTTGGGAAGTGAAGTATTCCTTTAAGAAAAAGGAAAACTATCCATTTGAGGAACAATGAATCCCCTCACAGATGTTTATACAGATGCATAATACATTAAAACAGGATTGTTGTAGAACCCAAAATGTTAACTGTATCGGTATTAGTCTATACATATCAGATAATAAAAAATATTAATTCTAAATATATGAACCAAAATCAGTATAATATATTAGTGTATTAGGATTCCTTAACTCTCATATTGACATTGTTTTCAACAGACTGTTTACTGTAGAATGCCAGAAACTCAGTAATTGCTCATTGGTTTTGGTGGGCCACTCCAAGATTTGAAGTAGCCCCATCTGGCCACCCCTATGAAAAATTTCTGGTAATGCCACTGACTGAAATAAGAGCACTTTAATCCTATATATAGTTAGGATTTTGAAATAATATATAATTACAGTGTTCAAAAATTAAATTGCGGAAGTTAAAATGAGACATTTCTGCATGTTTTTAGTAACTTAAGTCCCTATATGTCTTTTAAAAATTAATAAACATGTTTCTAAGTGTTGAATCATCAGTGTGGGAGTGCCAGACCACTTCCCAACCACATCCCATTTATCCAGAGCACAGTGGAGACTGTTTACACTTGAACTGCTGTTTTCACTGAACAGCTGAGCACCTTTTTTTTATACCAAAAAGAGATGTGTAGCTAAGTTTTGAAAGATAAATTTGCAATTTGTTGACTGATTTTTTAAGAATGTGGTAATCCAACCTATGGATTAAAATGTTACCCTGAGCTCCCCTGGTGGATAGCAGCCTTGCCCACACTCTCTTGACAAATGTGTACCAGAGAAAAAAGCGGATATACAATACAAATCTATCTGAATAAACGAACAAACAATTGAAGGCGTCTTTTCACTCCACAGTGAGTGACACAAAGACCTGACTGCCTCCAATCTTGCAGCCAGACGGTGAAGGCAAACAGGAACAATGACTTCAATAATTCATGGTTATTGAACGCTCTGGTCTCCACACACACACACAGAAGTGTTTGCAGGGTACGATTATGACCTTCTGATGTTACATTATAACAGTGGTCCTACACAGCATAATGTTACACTTTCACTGGATTTCACTGCACAGGACAGGACGCAGGACTCTATCACAGAGCACAGCAGCATCGAGCCACATGAGGCCACTTCCCTTTAATTTTGCCAGTGATTACAGACTGTTTCTGATATTAAACCCAGAGTGTGTGTTCCTGAGTGAAAGAGAGAGTGAACAGTGTATAGCAGACAGTCCTGCAGCTCATCCTTGTCTCCGCTCAGCAGGAGCAGCAGGAGGAGGATTAATACAGGAACACCGTCCGTCCTGATAAATAATCTGGAGCGACACACCCAGTAGAAATCTCTTTCTGTTTTTCTCTCTGTCACGAACACAGTATACAAACCTCTGCCTGTTTAAATGACAGCCTGTGTCCTTCACTTAATTCTTAAATTGACTACAGTACACATTGTACATTGGCTGTGATAGAAAAATAAACTGATTTAACTCAGTGTGACATTTAAGTGCAGCAGAACATTTTGGTAGTAAACAAAAATACTAGTTTTAAACGAGTCTTTGTTTCAGCACTTGAAGGTCACATTAGATCCAACCAGTTGAACAAAACCCTTTATTTTTCCTTTATTCTGCTCCCATCATGGAGTTGTGGCGACTTTTGCATCTCTGACTTAAGGGCAGCTCGAAGAGGATGTAATCTTTGTGTCTGAGAACAGCAAAGAGGCAGTGGAGTGGTTCAAAGCCAGCTCATATGGTTTAAAAGCACTGCTGCACAATGCATTCATTTAAGTGCCGACTCACAATGTACCCCGGCATCCAGTAAAATGCAGAGTCACTCTTGCCTCTTGTTGTATCTCACCGGGTAAGCCTCGGATTGTTTTCCCTTATGCATGGACTTTTACCTCACTTGGATTTGAACGCAGCTTGTTTCACAACCACTGCACATCTGGTGTGAAGATGATATCACATTACCAAAAGGGAGAGAAATGTTGTTCCTGCATCTTTTCTGCAAAACATTATTATTCATGACTTAAGTGCAGTGCTCCAGTCATAAAGATTTAATTATCTAGTGTTCTGCAAAATCTGCTGGGCCTCTCTCGAACACAACGAGTCTGGCCTGGCACTCAATCTGACCTGTCCCTTGTCCAAGAAGACAGAGTGCTTCAATAAAGACTCTCCGCTGACCAGATTCTCTCTACGTGGCGCAACCTCCCTCTGAGCAGCTTGTGACTGAATCTCATCTGGGAGATTCATTGTTCTACTCGGAGAGAGAGAAAAAAGTCAACGTGGAGCAGACTGTTTCAATGAAGCTGATTTATCTTGGGTTATTGGTGAAAGCACCGGAGGAGAGGTGGATGGTGCAGCCATGACAAAGAAGATGAGAGAGAGGAAAGAATAAATAAGCTCTCGATCAGCACTAAAATGCTCTCATGGCTGTGTGATCCGTCACTCTTTGATGGAACTGTAATTTCTTACATAAACACATAACACTCCCCGTAGCATTTGAGCTATTCGGAAAGCTTAAGACACAAATCTAAATGGAAATCTAGTTTGCTTGTTCCCCGCAGGTCTACTGTAATTGTCTCTCTATCAGGGTCATTAGGAAAAGGGAATGTTTCAAGTTCATTCCCACAGGGAGTCATGCTCAAAATGTGCTGCTCATGGAGGAGAGGAGCGCCAGACTTCCTCACATGTGGCCTAAAGGGCAAGTCTTGTGCGAAGCAGCAACCGTGAAGCTGCTGGTCTGATGAGTTGTTGATGAGAGCTCAGCACAGAGAGGGAGAATCGCTCTGCATTGTGTAGGTTACAGACTGTGAAATGATTTTTGAGAAACACTCTCTGAAGTATCCTCAGACTGCTGGCAGGACAAGATCAAAAGTAAAAAATGTTCTTCGCCTCTTAGTAAGGTCACAGCAGTACGGTGCCGTGCACTTTTTAATGATCAGACTTCTGCATGTGAAGTTTCACCGCGCCGTCTTCAAAAGATTAAGTCGTCATCAATATGAAAAATAGTCTCGTACACATTAAGTCGAGGCCAAAATTATTAACATCTTTGTTTTTGCAGGCTTGAGCTGGGTAAACATTGGAGAAAGAGAGCCATCTTTATTCTCAGTATAAGGGAGCACATTCACATACATTCCTTCCCCATGTCTGTGGCTTCTTCTCAGAGCATATGAGCATATTCCAACCTCAAATCGTTTCAAATATTTATGTACAGTCACAAGCATTCAAACATTCGGGCTTGTGTGGAAGACAAGTTTTAACTTTTCATTTTCCCCCCACCTCTGCGTTTAACACACTCTACAATCAAAGTATTTAATACCAGCGAGATGGCAGGGATACAAAAATATGGTGGAAAATACAATCTCTTAATAACACACTGTATTTGCTGACATGCTATCTCTTACACCAATGGGCTCATTTCATATCACTTAAGATTCATTACTCATGCGGCTAATGCTTCTTGACACACATATGCACCAAGGCACACATGCACACACTTACTTAAGCAGCTGTGCCGTATGACCCAGTGCTGTACAATCTAGTGGAGAGGATGCAAATGCAAGTTGTCACCCTGGAGATGATGAAACAGCTGGGAGAAGTCATGCGTACTGGACTTGCAGTTTTAGAGTTTCAACCTGCAGAGAAAAGGCTTACAAAGGTCTTCAGAGTGCAGTTCTTGCTGAGGCGCTGTGCAGAACACACTTGCTCTCTTCGTCTCTTCCTACGTTTAAAGCTCGTGGCGTGTAAGTGCATATATCAGCAAGTTCCAAAGAGTCAATCTGAATCCGAGCAATCAGTAGTTTTGGAGGACTTGTGCTTTCGTTTCCTTTTTCTCTTCTTCTTGTCTTTCTTCTTTTTGTCCTTCCTCTTTTTCCTCTTCTTGCTGCGATGGTGATCGGAGGAGGAGGAGGAAGAGGAAGAGGAGGAGCTGTCTGAATCAGAGGAAGTGGTGTCCTGGAGCATCTGCTGCAGCTGCTGGATCCTAAAAACAGGAAGGGCAGGGAGGAGAGGAGGTGGGATCAGAGTCAAGTACAGAGAGGAAACACAACTGATGCAGGCTCAGACACCCGCGCTGGCAAGAATCTGAAGTGTCCTTGACGAAGACACTGTCTTTGTCCAAGTACCAGCATTTCAGAGCGAGGGCCTAATTGTGTTTTATATTTCCAGTAATTGCGAACAGTGCTTAAGTACCTGTTAAATCTGCAGGTGTGTGGAGGATTGTCAGATCACACTGGGACACACCTGGATAATGGGGTCATCATCTTGCTTAATCTTAACAGAGGCTGAAGAAGTATTTCACCACTGGAAAGATGATCTTTTAATAAAACTGAGCCGTCTTAGTGCTACATGACCAGAGACAAAAAGGGCTGTTGCATTTGGTTTCGCTCAGGAGGTAGAAAACCTACAACTACCACAACGGACCAATGAACGGACCACATTTGAGATGTCACACTTTTATAAACACTGACTGGGATCAAAATAAAATGGAAATACAGGGATTTTTTTCCCTGTTTGAAAATATATAGCTGCACAACAAGTAAATGAAACATGATATAAAATAAATAGCAGGGCTGTACGTTAACATTTTGCGCACAGAACTGAAGCTACAGAGGTTTAAAGGTTTGCAGCACAGGACACAAAACTATAACACAAGTATATAAGTATCAAGTGGGCCTAAATCCTTTGCAGTCTGGAACAATTAAAAACCTTTTGAGGGGAGTTGAAAAGTCATTTAGGCTATTAATCTTATTTCTGCACAGAGCATCGACAGAGAGGCCGAGGGAGGGAAGGAGTGAGACACACTTTGTCCACATTATATACGTCTTGTATAAAAAACATCTGTGTTGTCGCTGTATTTTTTTTTAAACAGATCTGTCGCCTGCATCCAGGTGATGTCTCCATGTCACAAACTTGATTACAACTGCCAACAAGAACAGCGACACGCTATGATCCACCTCACCCTCAAACTAGCAGTGCAGCGCTGTTTCGCACATGTGCTGCAGTAATTCCATTCACCTCACACACTGATTTAGCGTAGCACGTGCAACATATAGACCGATGTCACACTGCAGACTAATGAACAGACAGATTAAACAGAGGAGCAGCTCTGTGTCTCTCTGATGGAGAACTTGTGAGTGAGTGAGTGGGGCGGAGCTGCGTGGAGAGTGTGAGAGAGGAGAGATGCACACTGGTATGCGTTATCTAAGGCAACATGACCCTATATCGATATAAACGGTGTTGTCTAAATTGGTATCCTGCTTTAAAATATATTGTATATAGTCGTTATATCACCCTACTGGTGGGTAATGTTATCCGAGTTTGTCCTTTTTTCCACAGGAAACAATATGGTGGCCGGCTGGGAACAAATTATCTTTAATAACAGTTAAACAGTAAGCTAAAACATGTTTCTGGAGACATTTTAGGTGAGAAATAGGCAGAATCCTGGTTCCTATTATAATTATTAATTACCATTATTTCATACTCCTTGTGTCGGTTGTGCCAGGCATATGAAAATGCAAAAGTACAATCTGCAGCAACAACCCCAGAGCCAAGATGAGGAGGGAGATCTGGGTGCTGGTAAGATGGAGGTTCGTTTACCATGTTCATTTACACACACTACCCACATTGTTGTGACACAAACTGGCTGAAAAATGAAGTGTAACTCAGCCTGTACATTCTGAATGGTTTTGACAATCCTGGAGAAGTCAACAGTGAAGTCAGCTACTTAAACATCTGGTGAATATCTGCGTATCCACAGCTGAATAAGGCTCAAGAAGGAAGATTAACACATCAACACATCACAGAACGAGTGAAGGAAACATCACACTGCTCAGTGAAATATGAAACATTTGTCAGAAAGGGAGGAAGAAAAGAGATGTACAGGAGGCATCTGGAGTACATGGCCTTAATGAGCTATGAGAAGTGAGCCAGCACACTTAAGAGGGATGATATCATAAATGTACAATTTTTTAGGACGGCCAGAAACTGTTAACCATTCAGCCATGAGAGTATTTCTCTGAGAAGAGGTTGACATGCTCTTCTGAAGTGTCCATCAGGCCTCATTATGGTGGGGTTGATCTCCAGAGCAGAATGATCACCTGAGCACTTGGGATGTCACACGATGCCTTAAAGCGTACCTCCAGTCCTCAAAGTGAACCCCATCATAAAAGCACTTCATAACCTACAGATGAATTATAAAACCGTCTCCTCACTCGGCTCAAATACTTCGGTTTCTTTAAATGCACTTTTGGAAAAAAGGTATCATTCCTGCAAACTGGCAGCACTGGAGTTTATTCGAGACAATGTTTTAGTCACTGACCTTCATCAGGCATCAAATTCACAATGTAACAATATGTCGTTTATACTAAAGCCACAGGCACTACAGACACCTGAGACTATTACCACATTCATAACTGATAAAAACACCCCCTAAAAGAGACAAAAATACATAACAAAATCTGTGGAATACAAATGAAAACAGAAATAGGGAAGAGAACTCTGAAAGATTGGATGTGCGATGCATAATAAGCTGCATATCAGAAAATAACTGGTCTGTGTCAGATATCCAGCTGGGAATATCTTCATGTCCCTGGAGAAGTGCAAAAAATTAACTTTCAAAATAAAGATGCAAGTGCTAATAACAAGCTCATTTCCACAATTTCATCATTAAATGTTCCCAAGGACGACTTCAGACACAATACTGTAAATGCAATTGGAAGGCGAGCCGGGAAAGGTTGGACTGTTTCACTTCCCTTTCAAAGAAGATGCCAAAATTAATGTGGCACAGACACGCAACTCAGGCTTCAAAGAGCAACTGGCCTTTGAATAACCTTTTTGTAATGCATGCAAAAACACACACACACACACACACACACACACACATATGCGTGCGTGTGCTGCTGCTGCTGCTCTGCACGCACACACACACACACACACCTTGAGTGAGCCTTCATAGTAAACACACCTCAAATTCAAACACCCTGGTGTCAAATACTGTTTGCTAGAAACCGGCACAGAGAGCCAGCCACCATGAGAGAGTTTCCAGGTCATCTGAGATTGTCCGACTCCGACTGTCAGAAAACAGTAAAAAACACAAAAAAACCTGCAGGTTCTCAAGTTTATTAGCTGACTGAGTGCAACCCAGTAACAGTTGTCTGGCTGCCACTGTTTTGAGAAATAGAGATTATTGGCCATCACTGGCAACCACTTTTTAATACACCAATCAGCCCAAACATTAAAACCACTGACAGGTGAAGTGAATAACTTTGGTTATTTTGTTCCAGTGCATTGTTCTGCTGGGAAACCTTTGGCTCTGGCATTCATGTGGATGCCACCTGACGTGTTCCACCCACTCAAACACTGTTGCAGACCAAGTACCCCCCCTCATGGCAACAGTGCTCCCCAGTAGCAGTGCCCCCCAGCAGGATAATGCACCATGCCACACTGCAAACATCGCTCAGGAATGGCCCAAGGAATGTGACAAAGACCTCAAAGTGTCAACCTGGCCGATAAATTCCCCAAATCCCAATCTGAATGAGCATCTGTGGCACGTGCCATTAACCCACCTCACAACCCACTGGACTAAATGGATCTGCCGCCAACGCACTGGTGCCAGACACTGCAGGACACTCCCAGAGATCCTGTGTCCATGCCTCAACAGGTCAGAGCCAAGTCCGATCCAAGGAGGCCCCACCTTGGATTAGGGGTACATCTGGGGTACCGGCACATCACAAGAACCCTTGAGGAGATTGGGGACCTGGGAAATTTAGAAGCCAGGTCGACACCTTGAGCTTTTTGTCACGCTCCACAGGCCATTTCTTAACCGTTTTTGTAGTGTGGCATGCTGAGTTTTTCTGCTGCCATTGGGGAGTACTGTTGCCATGAGGGGGGTACTTGGTCTGCAACAGTGTTTGAGTGGGTGCAACATGGTGGTGGTATCCACATGAATGCCAGAGCCAAAGATTTCCCAGCAGAACAATGCGTTGGAACAAAATAATCAAAGTTATTCACTTCACCTGTCAGTGGTTTTAATGTTTTGGCTGACTGGTGTATATATATTAAAGAAAAGGTATAACAGATGATAAACAAGTTGAGGCTGCAAGAGCTGGCACACCCGTTGACGGGTCGAGGAAAACTGCCATTTGCAAGATTAATGCCGCCAACCAGGAGATCTTTATAAAACTTTTCAATGCCACATATCATCTTCTGTAAATTAGGAACCCTGTACGTCCTTACCTCGTCTGCTGGATCTTCAAATAAAGAACGGATTTGGTGCGACTGACAAGCTACAGGTCGGATCAGACATTGGGGGGAATATAATGCCAGTGTGGACCGTTGTTTGAGAAGCAACCTCAGTACACAATGCGATGTTTGTTTGTTGTTGATGATATTATCTTGTTTTTGGTATGTTTTCTGTCAGATTTAAGAACAGGCTGCTGAGCTATTGTTAACCTGACAGCGCCATCATCTACCACAGAGACAGCATCACACCAACTCCATTAACAAATGGTCAATTAAACATTTCTCTCAAGATGAGCGGAAAGATTTCTTACACTTTGGCAAACTGTTGTGTGTAATTCAGTATGTCTCGTCCCCCAAACAGAGTTTAACTTATATTATACGTTAATTTACAATAACACTTTGAGGATTTACATCTAATCTTAGTATCTTATATGGTCATGTTGTTGTATTATTAGTGCTATGATTTCTGATAGCATTCACAGACTGGTACATTTTGTTTTATGAAACAACAGGCAGATATTTGCCATATTTAACCATTTTTGTCTGCTATAATCCCCATTTCATAAAAACAATTAACTACGTCATATGTGACCCCTCTTTATCAGTAATAACAAATTGACACTTGATCAACACAAGGTGCTGAATAAAACTGGAATGTTCTTAAAAACTTTAAAAAATATTCTCTCATATCACATTTTCATTATTAAGCTGACATATAATCGCATAGTATCTTAATTACTCAAAATATAAGGTGAAAAATGGTGTGAAAATGGCAACTATGTTCTACGTTTTGGCAACTGGAAGCTGATGCTTCGTAGCCAGCCTTTTAAAAGTTAGAGCTGAGCCCAGATTTTGATCTACTAAGCTTTAAAAATCTGACTCTTATTCAGTGAAATTATCGCAAAGGATGCAAATGATTAGAAAATGAGTGTACGTACCTGGTTTCTTTTTCATTTCTTTTGTTTTCCCGAATGATGTCATACATCGGGTCTTCATGAGCCTAAAAGACCAAAATGCAATCTGTCATTACCTACTATAAAGAGAGGGAAATGAAATTATACAATAATAGTTCCTACTATTCACATTAGATCCAGAGAATTATCCCCTCCACACACTCCAACAGTTGCACTGACTCTAGTGTTATGTCAGCATTTTTTTTTTTAAAAACCTCCCTGTGACAATACGAGGCATGAAAATATGACACAGTTGCATTTATGGTAATCATTGCAGAGGCTGTGTGTTCCTGCAGTAGTTATTGCTCCATTACAGGCACATTGAAACCGGCTGTGTGAAGAAGTCTGCTGCCCACATGTTCCCTCAGTGTAAACTAAATATGGCCCGACTCTGCTGTTAGCCTCAGCCCAGCAGCTCTCACAAGCAGACGTTTGTCTCTGTCGCAGCTCCTTGACCTTGCCACAACCCAACCTACATTCTTTGAGCGTAGGCCATTCTTTGATATATTCTCTAAATAACTATGGGTGGGCTTTTTTTTTTTCTCCAAGCAGTTAACAAACTCACCACTCTGAACTGCTCTAGTTTCTGGTTGCCTTTGATGAAGAACGGACACTCCCTGTCTCCTGTCCTGTGGCCGTAGCGCTTACATCTCCAACCTGCAGTGAAGCAAACAAATATGAATCTGTGTAGCTGGGACAATAATCTGTAGTGAGGGTATGTCATTGCTATAAATTAGATCAAATATGGGCATGAAAGTACATTCTTGACCTTGAAAACCATCTCATGGCTTTCATCTGCAAACAGAGTATGCTCAGTTGTCATGGCGTAAGTTCAGTTGTTATGTACATCCATACACACATACAGTATATATATATATATAGAACCACCTGTTATCATGTGATCATACTTCTATTCTGTCAACATAACAAACACTCTAACAACTAAGTTAAACTGTTCACTGATGTAGAGGCTGACTTGCAGTTGAAAACTCTGGAAAAAAGCTACTAAGAGTTGAGATTTTTTTTCACTGTAGCTTCTTTCTTGAAGGATAAATTCGCTATTTTCCAACCTAGACTGTTATTTCAATGATTTTTGTGTCTAAATGACAAATGGGAACAACAATTTATGAAAATGGTCCAGTTCTGACTGAGAGCGCTGCAGCCGGCAGCGGCAAAACATGCTACAAGAAAGTGCACGGAAGCAGGCAGCTGCAGCAGGAGGCGGCGACAAAAATCCGTGGTCAAGTCAGACAGTTTCCCGATAGATTCCAGCAGCCTTCAGTCCGCACAGGAAGTCACAGAAACACTTACATCCTGTCAGATCTGATGCAGATGTATTAAAATATTATCAGACTCATATATCAGTTTGTTCTCTGTCTCCAATTGTTTTATTTATGATAGCTTGAGTTATTAAAATGCTTTACAGGCGATCTGTAATTTATGTTCGTGGTTCAACCTCAATTTTGAATAAAAATTCTCATGTACATCAGCATCATTTACTTTACTGCTGCAGAGCAGATGTGTCCCCTCAATTACATAAGCTAAATAAATTGTGTTTGACTATTAGATTAATATTTTAAGAGGAAAAAAATAAAAGCTTCCATTAAAGATCAGTCAGATGTAGTCAGGGCTTCAGGGTTATTTCAAGAATCCTCAGATCCCACTGACCACCAGTCTTAGAATAAATCTTCAAATCAGACAATTAACATCTAAATCTCTGGAATTCAACAACAATGAAAAGTTTATCTACCACGTCGTATTGTTGAGTCAACATCTAAACCAATCAGCTGTTAGATCAACTAAGAGCCAGACACTTCTCACGAGATTATCGCTGTCCACTTTTGTATGACAACAGAGCAAATCAGGATGAAGTCGGACACAAATTTTACCAGCATGCATTGTGCTGTGATCGCGAGTGAGCCAGGCCTGGCTCATCTCAAACAAGCCTGATGTAACCACTCAGGGAATGTTTGCACCATCAGTGTACATCCACTAAAGGTGCTTGTTACTGCCACTGACAGGTATAGATTAGAAATCGCCATCCCTAAACTCACCAGACTCCATTTAAATAAACAGTAATTTTAGTGTGTATAGACCCAGCATATTTTCACATCTAACTGGGTGAATTAAGGGTTTATTTCAACAAGATTAGAGCTGATGATTGTTGGAACAGTGGAACAATGAACCAAGAAGTTTCTTGTGAATTTTATTTTGTTTCTGTTGAGTTTGAGTTAAGTGTGTTTTACGATACTAAAATTACTGTTTCATTAAATGGAGTCTGGTGGGACTGGTGACAGTGATTTCAGGGCTGTTCCTGGTTAAACAAAAAGGTCTATTTCTATAGGGACACTTTAAATAATAATGTGAACATGTCAGTGGCATAAACTCTTTCAGTGGACATAAATTGACAGTGTGTACATGCCCTGAGTGGTCACATTGCAGCCTCCTTTGCCACTGCCGTCTGCAGCGGTCTCACTCAATACAAAACCAATTTCAAAAACTGTTGTTCCCATTAGTAATTCAGACAGGAAAACATGGAAAAGTAGAGTTGAAAAAAATACTGAAGTTACCCTTTAACCCTCCTCCTTTTAAGCAGCATACAGGCCCACAGAAAAAACATTAATGTAGGGCACAGTTTGTGGAATTCAGAAAGCCAAGGAAAGCGACTTGGAGACAGCCCTGCTCATGCAGTGATGCATTGCACAATATAAACGACCTCCCTGAACAATTTCTAAATCATTACTTGTGACTCCTTGTGTCAAATTTTCACACTGTTTTAATTTCCAACACGTTAAGTGGCAGCGCAGTCACTCTGAATAAGTTGAAAATCTCTGTAAAGTGAGACCACACAAAGTCTCTGTGTATCCTCTAAAAGTAACTGCGTGCTAAAGCGTTTACTTTAGGTTTTCCATGTCCACATCATCCACTGTGACGTCTTCCCTGTTCCTTTAAACAGGATGACATGTTCAAACATTTTCTCGAAGGATTAAGCGGAGAAGGCGATGCTCAGATTCTGCAGAACAAATGCCAACTTGTGCACAGGGCCCGTGTGTGTATGTGAGTGTGTGTGTGTGCGCGCTGACTCCCTGAGTCCCTGGCTGTTCATGCAGCATGAAAATGAGTGGGACGAAGGAATGAATGGACACTGAATATAAGGGCAGTCTTTGTCTGACCAGAAAAACAGAAGGTAATCTCCACCAACACCCGTATTAACCTCCAGCAATAGACGTGATGTTAACTGTCGAGTTCTCTGTCACCTATTAAGACCTCCGCCCACACTGACGTGGTGGATATTTACTCCCACCTAGAGTTTCTAAACTATAAGTGCTGCTGTTACTTCTATAGCTGACAATAAACTTTATTACAGGGTGGCTGCTATATCTACCAGCATAGTTTGAGACATTTCAAGAGCTTCTTCATCATAATTCAACAAATATGAGGAGCAGAAACAAGTGTGAATCTGTGAGACAACACTGCATACTGTTTTTAATTTTAAAAAAAACAACCTAGCAACTCTATCTTGAGCTGTAAATCTGAGGTGAAAGTGTGCATATTAATGTCACCAACAACTCAGTCAAAAGTAATTTAGAGATGAGACTTGTTAAAAAAAAAAAAAAAACCTGTTACATTTCATACAAACAGTGGAAGAAAAAGGTCACAGCAAGGGGCTTTATTAATGCAAAGCTTTCCTCCTATAATTAAAGACGAGCATCACCTCTGACATTCACGCCTCACTTCTGTAGCTGTGTGAAGTTTCCCAGAGGTTTGTGAGATGTGTGAATAAGCCGCAGTCTCAATTTACTAATACCCTTTTTCCCCCTTAAAAACAATCTGTCTTTCAAACACCATATTGAGTTTTACGAAAAAACTCAGGGTGACGTTGGGTTTGTGCTATAGAGACATTCCTCATGCTTGAGGAAAAAAATAATCCAGGCAACAGTTTTATCTGCAATCGATCATGGTTCTGTATTTGTCTCTAATTCGGATTTTCGCACACATCATTTGCCGTCATTACACAATTTTATTCAGAAATCTATATTACACAAACTGCCTCCTTATTTATGTTCTCTACTGACTCCTTACAGCTAATAGTAGCTGCAACCTTCAGTCACACGGACAAATGATGTACTTTATTCCTTGAACTCGCATTGTCTAAAAGTTTTTGCACGTTCATTTCGGTGTCAGCTACAAAGTCACCTTAAACCAGATTATTTTATAAACATGGAAGATTAGAAAGACAGGATTAGGGATTATTTTGACCACTGCATGCACATTGCTGGTTCAATGTTAGATGCAATTTGCTGTTTGTTTTAATTCAGTTGCTTCTTTCCTCTTTGATAAAGCTTATAGTTAGGGCCGGCTCAGGCTTGCCTTGTACCAGCACCTAGTTAGGCTGACTTCGGCGTAGTTTGCCAGGGGACCTCCTATAATACACCGGGCACCTTCTCTCTCTCTCTCTCTCTCTAACACTCATGTCCTGTTACTGCATCTCACTAACTCGGCCGTACTGCATGTCACTAACTCGGCTTCTTCTCCGGAGCCTTTGTGCTCCACTGTCTCTCAGGTTAACTCGTATTGCAGCGGTGCCTGGATAGTGTGACGTGTGTGGTTGTGCTGCTGCCGTGGTCCTGCCAGATGCCTCCTGCTGCTGCTGTTATATTTAGTCATACTTCTACTGTCATACTTCTACACATATGATTATTGTCACATATATATACTATCAGATATTAATATATACTTTATTAATAGTAATATTGTACCACATTAGCCAGAACTATAACGATAATATTATTTGTTTAATTAATGTTGTTGTAAGGTACTGTCATTGCTGTCTGTCCTGCATCTCTCTCTCTCTCTCTGTCTCTCTCTCTTTCTGTCTCATTGTGTCATACGGATTACTGTTAATTTATCATGTTGATCTGTTCTGTACGACATCTATTGCACGTCTGTCCGTCCTGGAAGAGGGATCCCTTATACGCTGTGAGGGTCCTAAGGACAGAGGGATGTCACATGCTGTAAAGCCCTGTGAGGCAAATTGTGATTTGTGATATTGGGCTTTATAAATAAAACTGAATTGATTCTTTCTTTATATGTGATTTGTTAGGCTGTTTCTCTTAAGTGTTTTGCTGCTATCTTGGTCAGGACTTTTGGGGTGCCTGTGGCTCAGGAGGTAGAGCGGGCCATCCTCTAATCAGAATATCAGCGGTTTAATCCCTGGCTCCTCCAGTCTGCATGTCAAAGTATCCTTGAGCAAGATACTATTGCTCCTGATGGCTGTTCCATTGGTGTGTGAGTGTGTTAAAGTTTTGCAGCAAGTTGCACCTTGTATAGTCGCCTCGGCCACCAGTGTGTGCATGAGTAAACGTGACTCATTGAGTGGTCAGAAGACTAGAAAGGCGCTACACAAGTGCAAGTCCAATCTTTGTAAGAGAGAGTTTCAAATGTAGTATTAATGGTAAAATAGATATTGCTGATTTAAGTGTACTCACACTGCATCACCTTCACCTCCTTCCCCAGAGGCATCCACAGCCCCTTGGTGGGGGCGTGTGCCAGGAAGCTCCTCGCTTCTTCATTTCCTGGTTCAGCAGGGATACAGTCCTCTGGTTTGTCCTCATGCTCCTGCAGCAACAACTGTGTCAACTCCACACATTCATGTCACTTAAACACATTCACCAAATATATTTTAAGGTGAATAACGTTACCTTAATGAGTCCTGGTGGCGGCTTCTCATAGCTGCATGACAGAAAGATAATATGAACTTGTTTTTTTAAATGCAGAATTAACTGTGTCAAACTCAGCTGTCCTAAAACTGCACGACACAAATAAAGTTAACTGCTCACATAACAAGTCTGGTATACTTATTTAAAGTGTGTATTACTTGCTGTAAAACTGTATTAACATGTATAATTTATGCACAAGTTTGTAAGGTTAAGCAGACCAGCTCTCTGTGGTATTACTCACAACGTCTCTACGTGTTTCAGCTGTTGCACTTTCTGGTTGAGTTTTTTCGATTGTGTTTTGAGTTTCTCCAAATCCTGTTTGGATGACTTGTGTTTCTTGTGGTCTCGTCGGTCCTCCTTCTCTGTCCTTCGCTTTCTGCTCGACATTGTCCCGATATTCACACACCGCGGCCCCGGAAAACCATTAAGCTATACACAAAGCTGCATTCAAGGTTAATTTGTTCGCTTTAAGGGGAGACACATCGGCGGACGTGCTAACCAGCAGCTAACTAGCAGCAGACATGTCTGTGGTGCTGCTGGACTTCCTGTGCAGCCTGGTTGGTTAGTTAAAGTCCAGCGACACCTGCAGGACACAAACGGTAACACACGTATGACAAACTATAAACAACTATGACAAAACACATCCTTATTTCCTGTAACCATATAATTACTTTAACACTAAATTGCACATTTTGTTCAGTTTTTTTTACACTGTATAGCCTGCTTTCATCCATGCAGTGTTGGAAAATAGTATATATTTAAGTATAATGTATAATGTATATAAGTATATATTTACTCAGCTGAAGTACAATTTAATCTAATTCTGTGTGTATGTATGACTGTATCACACATCTATAATGTGCAATTTCCTTTGTGTGCAATGACATTTACTTTTTACGGTGCAATTATATTTATAGATTTTTATATTTTCTAGTGCATGTGTGCATTACAATTGTCCTGTGCAATTATCCATCATGGCCATACAGTATCAGCGTGAGTGAAGATGAAGAATAAATCCACAAGGGGAAATTTATTTTCTTCACTCTGTTGTCGTATACACAAAGGCTCTAAATACACACATGCACAAACAGGACCTATACATGCATCAAATGAAGAGATGTCAGAGCGAGGGCCTTGGACAGGCACCCCAAGCAGTTGGGGGTTCAATGCCTTGCTCAGGGGCACCTTGGTAGTGCGCAGGAGGCGAACTGGCACCTCTCCAGCTACCAGTCCACGCTCCATGTTTGGTCCAGATGGGGATTTGAACTAATCTAACCCAAGTCCTTATGGACTGAGCAACTGCCACACCAAAGAAGGTATAACTAGTGTGCATACCTTTTGTTTTACTTCATTTGTATTTTTGTCCTGTTTCTATCATTCAAATACTTTGCTCTTTTTCCTTTGCTTTTGAATCTTATGCAGCTTTGACAGATCAATTTCTCTGTTGCAGGATTAATAAAGCTTTATGTGATCTCTTATCTCAACGTATTTGTAATTGAGGCTTTTCTTTTTTGCCACTTGATACTTCCACTCAACTTAAGTTTTGAGGCAAATATTTTACAGTTTGCTCCACTGCTTTTATTTTATAACTTAAGTTAATAGTTTGTTTGTAGATTAAGATCAATATTACAAACAATAATCAATAAATAGATTATGATGGACTGTTATGGGTAAAAATAAGACGTGAAATTCACAATCTACCTGGATGTATATATAGAAAAAAAGTAAGATCTGCCTTCACCAGATGCAATGTTAAAGTAATGTATATACTAATACATAAATAATTATTCAGCAGCATAATATACATTATTATGAAATATGTCATTCTGCACTTCTTTTTAGTATTTTCAAACTAATGCTTCTGTACTTTTACTTAAAGTGGCAGTTCACCCCAAAACAGAAATACATATTTTTCCTTTCACCTGTAATGTTGTTTTATTTGTTGTTTTTAATCGGTCTAGATTGTTTTGGTGTGAGTTGCTGAGTGTTGGAGATAACAGTCATGGGATGTCTGCTTTCTCTTCAGTATAATGGAACTAGATGGCACTCAGCTTGTGGTGCTCAAAGCGCCAAAAAATACACTTGACAAACTCAACAGCAATGTGTCTTTCCAGAAATTATGAGCTGGTTACTCAAGATAATCCACAGACCTTGTTGTGATCAGTTTCAGAGGAACTATTTCTTTCTACTGAACAACACCTGCCAACTGTATCACCATGCAGATGGAAGCGTGCATCTACTCCTTGCTCACCTAGCACCACTGAGCTAGCTAATGTTACAGCTCAGCTGAGGAAGATACTATTAATATTTACATCTTGCGTTCTCACAGACAGCCTCTCATGAATGAATGCTTTCCTCTGCATGGTGATGCAGTTGGCAGACATAGTTTGGTAGAAAGAAAATAGCTCCTACATGAAACTGCTCACAACAAGGTCTGTGGATTATCTTGAGTAACCAAGTCATGATTTCTGGAAAGAGACATTGCTGTTGAGTTTTTAAAATGTACTTTTTGGCGCTTTAAGCACCACAAGCTGAGTGCCATCTAGTTCCATTATATTTGAGATAAGGCGGAGGTCTCGAACACTCGGCAACTCACACCAAAACGATCTAGACTGATAAATAACACTACAGGTAAGAGGAATGTATTTGTGATTCTGGGGTGATCTGTCCCTTTAAGTAACATTTTGTATACAGGACTTGTAACAGAAAATTTCTGTACTGCAGCAATGAAGCTTTTAATCAACCTTTTACCTAGAATATGATGATTTCTTCCACCTCTGCATTCATACTTTGTCATTTTTAATTTGTACCTTGTTTAGTTTTACATGCACAATAATTTGTTCTGTTTTATCTTACTACGTATATATTGTTTAATGTTACATCTTTGGCACAGCAGTTTTCTTTGGGGTGTATACAGGTCTGTCAAAGGTGTAAAGACTCCTTAAACATCCTCAGTAAATGCAGCTGGATGAATGACACAATCTACATCTGTATTTGCTGAGACATGAGCATAAAATCTGCAAGACTAAAGTTGCAGCAAAAGACATTTTCAAGCACTCATTTCACAGTGAGTAAGAAACAGCTCAGGTTCTCAGACTGGAAAGATTTTTATTTCTGAGAAACACGGTGTAGGTGGAATACAAATGTGAGGTATTTTAGGATCTAAGCACAAACTGTACATGGAACAGCTAATGGGAAAACAGGTAGGTAATCAGGCAGTACAAAACACAGCAGATATATTCAAATTCCTGCTCTTAACAAAAAGATGAAAAGAGGAACCTTTCAAAAGCACACAGCCAAAGAACATACTAAAAGAGAATGTAAAGTCTTGGCAATATTGATTTTCAATAAGTCTATCTGTACAGGTTTTAGGCAAATGTGCCTATTCAATGTAAACAGCAACTGATGAGTCCCACTTTAGATGTTAATTACAAATATCTGATGACAATGCACAGCTTCAAAATCATTAGCATGCACATACAAAAATGCAACATACATAAAGCACGTTTGTCTATCTGGTGATGTTTAGCTAAACCGAATGAATTTACAAAAACACATCTCTCCACTGGAGAGGGCCAAGAAATAAATAAATTAAAATACAAAAGTTTTGATATCAAATAATATGAAATAGTTTCACATAAACATATCATATAAAGGTGTACTTGTAACTTAAAAAAAAAAAAAAAAAATGGATACGGATATTGGCATGTAAACCAGCTCGTCATGCCACAAGCGCCACCTTGGAACACAGTGGGTGTTCCTGCGATATTTTCAGCCCTTTAACTCAAACTAAATAAACGCTCCACTTAAAACACCATCAGCTCAGTTCAGGAGACGACACACTGCATGTGCTAAATTAGACAAAGAAGCATTCTCCTCCAACCGGCTCAGCGGAAGATGCAGTAACCCTGATTAATAGTTGAAATAGCCAGCCCAGCACTCCCAGTTGTTACATTCAGGATACCAGGAGTGCCATTCCAAACAGCCCGGCAATAGCTGTGTTGGTGGGCAAACTGTAACCTTTCCCACACCGGCTCGGAAACCAATCACTCAGCCTTTGTTGTGAGCAGGTTACAAACATGGCTCTAACACCTTGTTTTTTATATAAAGACAAGAGAGATATTCATAGTGAGGAGAGAAAATCTTTCAAGCCCCCCTTCTTGCTGCCCGGGTTGTCCTCTCGCATGAGTATCTTGCTGAGGCGCTGCACGACCCAATTTTTAGGCTTGGAGGAAGACTTGGAGGAAGACTTGGAGGAAGATGAGCCTGACCCTGGGGTGTTAGAAGAGGTGGAGGACCTGAGGAGAGAGAGTTGGGAAGGGAGGAGGAAGAGACGCAGAAGGTCAGAGGGATTATAAGTAAAGACACAGTAACTTGAGATTTTGTCGGTCGGCAGGAAATGTAAAAAGTATGCCGTCAACAAGTATATGATCTGGCAAGCATGGATACCAGCACGTACCACTCGTTAAGCTAGCTCGAGTTCTCTAAATGAAACAGAATCATTCGAATGCAAACATGCCTGACATCAACCTCTCGGATGTCTGTGACACCTACTGAGTTTAGTCGAGGAAGGTTGTAGAAACTGACCAATGCCTGAAAAACCTTTGTTTCACCTGGTTTGTCTCCCCTCAGCTCGGAGGATATTTATATCAGCCTGCTCAAAATAACTTACCTAGGTGTATGAGCAGGTGTCTTGTCTTTGCTGGGAGTCTTGGGAGTTGTCATGTTGGCTCTGTGGGTTGACTGTGGGGTCTTGTGTTTGCCGGCGCTCCCTGGTGTGCTGTGGGTCTTGGCGAGGGTAGCTATAAACTCCCTGTTCATTCCTTTGTGTCTGGATGTCCTGTTGCAAGTGTGGCAGGTGGCCATCTGGGAAATGGAGAGGAAAGGAGCATATGTATTAATATTGCATGGCCTGCATCTATGTATATTTCTCTCATACATAACGAGGTTGTGAGGTGAAGGCAAGTTTTCTAAAAGGTCCTCGAAACTACTGTTCTGTAATACCAGTCTATCGACCAACTGATCTAAATCTAAATAAGGGAAGGTTTGCTTTGTCATTTCATTTGTTATTTTTCATCAAACCCAGTATAGCCACAGCTGTCTGTTTTTCTCTGGGACACACGGGAGTTTGTTGTAACTTTGTCTCGACATCGATTGCAGTGACAGGATGCTTCAGAGGACACAGGGAGCAGGACTAGCCGCTGTTGTGGCAGGCAACAGGGCTGTAATGAGAGGTGCTCATATGCCCTGGTTGACACCGGCCAGCCTGAAGCCTCACAGACACATCTACTACCATCTCACAGCTGAGGATTGGTTCATAACTGGAGTCCAGGAAGCAATTCATGACAGGAGATGATTCCCTCATCAGCTGAGGCTCTTCTCATTTGCCCTGTCAAACATCCCCAAAATAATCTTACCCTCCAATGTTTGTGCAGATATGTAAATAACTGGATTAGTTAAAGCAGGATGGGAAATATTGGCATGGCCTACGAGCGGGCAAGGTGGGGCTGTTGCCATGCAGTCTCACCCATTCATGGAAT